GTTCCCAGTGCCACATTCACCACTTTTCCTCCCATTGTTTACTTACCTTTTTTGAATTAAAAAATAAACAAAATTAAAAAAAAAAAAAAAAAAAAAAAAACTGACAAAGAAAAAGAAAAAAATCGAGGGATTTATGTTAAATCATTTCAGAGGTCTGGCTTATAGCAGGGCCATGCCTACAGAGGAAGCAGTAAGCTCTGTGGCCAGGAAGAGGGCAACCAAGGACAGGAAAATATTTTCTGAAGCAAAACATCTCTACCAAAGGCAACATGATGCTGTAGCCCAAGAATCTCATGCTTCCTTTTAATCCTGAACTTTCAAATGTGATTGATTTGGTATTTAGAGTCACTTGCGCGTGTACATCGCTTTTTTATCTGAGTCTCTAGCTCCTTTCCCTTCTCCCAGATCAGTGGCCACAAATCCTTAGGCCTACTGTAAAATGGTAATTTCTTTATCTGTGACAAAGGTAAAAATTACAAAGACAACAATTCTTGCCTCAGGATAGAGGTAGATGCCAGTCTGTAGCACATGATAAATATGTTGTGAACTTACTTGGAGAAGACAGACAGCGGGTCAACGGAAAGTCTCCTAGTCAAATCAGACTGAAAGCAGCGTTTGTCCAGGTAGAAGTAAAGTTACATGTTGCCATCTACTTCCAGATGTGTGTAAAGAACAATTCACAATCCCCTACAACATATTGAAGTGTTGGGCAGGAAAGACTTCACTGTACAAAATGGTAAAGAAACTCACTTAGGTTCACAGCATCATGGAATTATAGAAGCATAGAATATCCCAAGCTGGAAGAGACCCACAAGGATCAAGTCCAACTCCATGCTCCACACTGCACCACCCAAAAATCAGACCTTACATCTGAGAACATGTGTCCAAACTGAACTTACTTAGTTCATTTAGCTTACTGAACTCCAGCACTGGGGGCCCACAGCCCTGGGCAACCCATTCCACGCCACCACTCTCTGGTGCAGACCCTTTCCCTAACCCCCAGCTGCCCTCCCCTGACACAGTGAGTAACAGAGCAGCAGAGAGCACAGTGCTATAGAAGCTGGAGTGACTTGCTCTCTGTTGTGATCAGACACATGGGAAGGGCAGACCACAGCTTTCCATCATCTGTTTGGAGCACTTCTTATCGCTGTAGGCTAATCTGTCACATTCCTTGCACCAGTAATTATTAATTAGTCTGGTAATGTATGATTAACTGATTTAATAAATAGCAATGTCTCTTCGATAAAGCCATTCCTTTCATTTTTCCCTTTTATCTTGTACCTATCTGTGTGTTTCAAAACAGTCCTAAATCAAGACAGCAATTGGCACTTAAGCTTTTAGCAGCTATTAGATCAGTTTAGCTTAACGTCAACCTTCAGCACAGTGTGCTTTTCTTACAGCATAGCAGCTACTTAGTGCTATTTCCTTGGAACTCAAAGAACTTTAAACGTACATCATTAATACTAACACATACATAAAATTAAATAACAGTGAAATTATTAGCCAGAGGAATTCTTACCTAATAGTTTACCCAAAGGGAGAAAGTGGTATCTGTGAATTACAAGCAGGCAATTGATTAATGGTATCTCCTCAATGAAATACGGCACTAAGATCATTTCTCAGTCATTTCTCAGATAACGGCCTGCTGGCACTCACAGTACCTCTGCAGGCTGCACAGCTCCTATGTAGTTGCTAGGGAACTTGGCTGCAGCCTGAAGAGTGCAGCGATGCCCATTGTTCTGCTGCCATTCATCTGCTGCCGTGACACCATTTGGGGTTATAAACATTTATTCAGTTTGTGTGCTTTCTGAAGAACAATTGTGGATTGAATCCTCTTCAGCCTCCAGGCTGCTGGCTGGAAATGTGCATCAGACAAATAAAAATGAACCCGTTTCAGGTGTAAAATCTCAAAGTGATGCTGAAAATTGGCATATATAAATATAACTCAGAAGTGGTTGATGGAACTGCTGGGGAAGTTACCTTGAACATGTTCAGTGACATTCAGTCTGTGAAATTGCTTTTGCATTTGAGAAACTAAAATCTTGTCCCAAATCAACATCAGCTGTACTTAGATCATTTCATTTAGACGTGGGTCTGGTGAGATGGATTACTACCAATAATTGGTGTGTGTAAAACCAGACTAGGCTCTTCCTGTTCTACTCCGACATTATTTCCTTAAGTCTCGGTCCTACAACTTCTTCTGTCAATTGACTGGTGTGGAAAGCATGCCTTCCAGCTTCTGTGCATCTGTGGCTTTTACATTCCACATCAACTTCATCAGCTTTAGGCTAAACAATGCTAAACTGTGTGCTGTTTACCTGAAAGTCATAGGAGGGAGGTTACACTGGTGATTCTTCTCACTGTACTCCCCTGGCCTTTCTTTAAATGAGCCAGATCAGTTCCTGATACACTGAGGATACTCCAGCTTTGCTAACACAAGAGCAGGGAGGAGGGATTCCTTCCTCTAATTGAAGATAATCTTCTTTATACTTCTACACTGTGTTTATCTTTTTCATGAAGTTGTGTCATGGATATCTGCTGCTCAGCTTTTGGCCTCCTGTAGCTGAAGAAGTCTTTTGTACAAAATTTGCCACCATTTTGACAGTGAATCACTAAAAAAATGAAATTAGATTGTCACAAATAACAATGGTCTGTCTCTGTAACCCTGAATCAAGATATTACCCTTAAAAAAATAAAAGGAAAATTTAAAAAGCAATAGCATTCAATACTGATTTCAAAACCCTTTCTTATTAAACAACAAGCAGCAGCTGGAAGGCAGTTGACCTCATGCTAACACAGAAACTTAGCTCATGTGAAGTCATCTCCACTACAGGAACCTAAATTTAGGTGTCTGTATCTGGAACCATGTCCTACCCCTGTCTGCCTGTCCGTCTATCTCTGTATACCTGCTTTCCAAAAAGCCCATTCCCCAGTCAAGGAAGGAAATCAGACTGATTTGCTGTGTAGAAGGCTCTCTGAGATTTGCTGATTTCAAAGGTGGGATTCTCTTTCCTTAAACCCAATCCTACTCACTCGGTGTGCCAACAGACTAAGCCGACAGCTAGGAAAAGCACAAAACCGGCAACAGAAACACCGCAAGGCTATGTGCTGTTATTTATACACACAGCAGCCCCATTGTTCTCACTGAAGACCCTGCCTTTTGTTCGAATCTGTTGAAATCTCAAATGCAGGTGCAAGGCGATGTGTGTGAAGGGCGGGGAAGTGGAGAAATGTAAATCCCCGATTAACCCTCTCCTCTGATTGTCCCTACCCGGAATGGTAAGAGGGTTGAGGAATGAGGCTGCAAATGTTGAAAGAGGAAGCAGAATTTATCACCTCAGCTAAGATTTAGTTCAATCAACCATTAAATAGGAGAAAATTCAGGTGCTACTCTTACCTGTAGAAGCTCTTCAGAATCACAGAAGGGGGAAAACATAGGTCTCAACGTGGTTACGTCTCCAAAATACATGGGTATGGCTCCACACATATCTGGGCAGTACCAAGGAAAAGAATCATATGATGAATTTCTATAGCTATTTTTTTTTCATAATTTTTGTTTACTGTTATATTTTTGTATGTAATATTTACAGTTATTTTCTATAGCGAACTTGCAGTTTAAGACAGAGGGTTTTACTCATTCTTCTACTTCAAAGGTTATTAACCATGCTACTTGTTCTGGCAGTTGTGACCAGAAAATTGAACAGTGCACAAGGAAAAGGAGAAAAATAGAGCAGAGCAGAGCCAAAAAGTCCAGTGCCAACAGTACAAACATACATGATAAATTATAATAAGATGTCACTAAGCTTTTTTACTCATTCTCCTGCACATTGATTTAGATTGGAATTGAGGGAAAAACAATGGTTAGATGGATATCACATTCTCTTGATATAGAGCATTGTCTGCACAGTATTTCTGGATGAGAGGTGCCAATATATACATCCTCTTGATCAGTAACTGCTTGTTGGCAGATTGGCCCCATTAAAGCCATGTAAACAGTACCACACAGGATTGTCTAACATGTACATAGTGCTGGCTGTGTACATTGTCTAGCCAAGTGAAGTCAAATTTTCTCACTCCCTATATTTCTTCTTTTGCTACAAGATCTAGCTATTTCACATGTATTCTCATATTAGAGACCTTTGTTATGAATATCTTTACTCTCACACCCATGTTTCTTCCCTTGCTTTCTTCAGAGTCCATTTGAGTTCTAACTACAACCTCTTCCTTGTTTTCCATTGAAGTGGTAAGGAAAAAAGAAAGCTCAAGTCTTACCCTACTCCATTATAAAAGAAAACCTTTGCGCGCACACACACACACACAAGCCTAGAGACTTGTCCAAATATACAGCCTTGTGTTTTCCACTTACAGCTGTGTAGTCCACCTGAATACTATTCTTCCTCCTGGTGACTATTTCCATGAGCCCTTTGTTTAAAATATGTATTGTAAGCAAAATTTGTTCTGAGTAACTTGAGCTTTATGAGTCCCACAGCCCAGCATGTGATAGGCAGTCTACTGGCTACATGCCAGAGAGGAACAGACTTGTGCAACTACTAATTATAAGATTATAAAATAACAGCAATCTAGTAGCTGAACAGCTTAAAGGAAATGCTACTATGCAAAGTTTGGGCTTATTCATATTATGAGGTATCAAAGGGCACCTTCAGCTCAGACTCTCTATTTTTAACTAAAAATATCCTTTATCACATTATGGTAATTCGCAAGAAAACCAGGCAGATGGGAGGAAGAAATTCTCTTCTTTATGACTAATTTTGAAATGATGTTCTCTAACATCAAACTTCAGACCAAATGTCAGTGTTGCAGGTGTCATATAATCTAATAATCTAATAATAATTGTAATGTACTTAGATTTTGATTTAGCCTTGTGCCAAAAGTAAGCTACTAGGTGCATTACATGCCTCTCATCCAGGCTGAACAGTTCCAGTTCCTTCTGTATCTCCTTGTGTCTGTCCCTGTGCTTCAGTACCTAGTCATCTCAATGGCCTGTACTAGCTTTGTCCTTGGTTCTAAGTTCATGTCTTTCTTGTGCTGAGGAATCCCAAACTGGACACAGCACTCATGATGTAGTCTTACAGGAAGGAGTACCTCTCTGTGCTGGCTAGCTACACCTCTGTCAAAGTCTTTCTGAACAGGGACAGCCCTGCCATTCAGCATATCAACCGCTCCTTTGGTGGAATGTTGCGGTGCCCTCTAATCCCATTGTAGAAGTCATAAACAAAGGCATAAAACAATATTGATCCCAACAGTGATCCCTGAGGAACACTGCTAGTAACTGGTCACCGGTTGGACTTCGTACCACTGGCTAATTATGAACAACTCTTTGAGCCCAGCAATCCACATAATTTTCCACTTGCCTATCATCCACTTGTCCAATCCATATCTCACAAGCATGGCAATAATGCTATTGAAGAAAACAATTTAAAAGACCTTACTTAAGTTAGGAACATGATGTCCACTTCTCACTCTTCATCGACAGAGACAGTCACAACGTCACAGGATGCATTCAAGGTGGAAGGGTAGACTTTGTCCTCAGTAAATTCATGTTGCCAATCAACTTCTTGTCCTTCATGCGCTTGGATATGGCTTGTAAGAGGATTTGTTCTATCACCTTTCCATGGACCAATGTGGTGTTGACCAGTCTCTAGCTTCCCAGTCCTCGTTCTCACCCTTCCTGAGGATGGCTGTGACATTTGCCTTTTTTTTTTTTTTTTGTCATTCCACTGTGATCAGTGACATCGGCCAGGTCCTCTGGCATCCTTGGATTCCTCCCATCTGGTCATAGGGACTCATGTATAGCTAATCAGCTGAAGCTCCCACTAATTCCATCAGCTTCTGCTGTACAGTTTCACTCCCTCAGACTGCCAGGAAGTTCAAACACCTCAGAGGTGGTTGCCAGAGGACAAAGCTTATCAGTGAGTGATAAACAAGGTGAAAAGAACACTGAGTACCTCAGCCTTTTTTATCCTTAGTCGCCATGTTCCCATTGAATAGCTGGTCCACTTCTTAGTCTTTAATTTTCAGTGAGTGCCCTTACTGAAACCTCTTTTGTCTGTCATTAGGTTCACCTCCAACTGATCTTTGGTTTTCCTAACCCTACCACTATATGCTCAGAAAATGCCTCTGCATTCCTCCCAGGTAGACTCTCCATGCTTCCTCCTTCTGTGTACTACCTTTTTGTTTCTGCTATCTCCTTGAATTGGGAGCAATACGCTAACATTTAGAGCATTCAACTATTTAACACTGGTATCCTACTGCAAGTTCATATGGCCAAGAGTCTCTTTGCATCCTAAATTCCTTTTGAAGTGAAATTTTCTGATTTTTCCTTTCCATTTTTGATTACCTTCCACATTAATTTCATTCTCTTATTTGTTGCTCGTGTCTTCATTTTAAGACTCTTAATATCACATCTTCTTGATGTTTCATGACACCAACTTCAAGATTACAGTTCCTTGAAATTTCATTAAGTAATGTCCGTATACTCTCTTGAATCTATGCTGAAGTAGCCTAATTGCAGGGGATTGAAAAAAATGTATGCATGTTACATCACTATTAATAGATATATATATTTTAGAAGTTTGTAATGCTATTCAATCTGAAAAGTCTTTAACAACTACACTTTATACCAAAGAGACAATGCACTGCCTGTATTTTCAAGTATAGAGTGCATCAAGCTGACAAATGAGAACTTCCTCAATTTTCCCTTTTAAACCGAAAAGAAAACCACCTGCTTACATGTCTTCCTCCTTACCTGGAGTTAGTGTGGTGACCAACAGATTTACACGAGTTTTGTGGGGAAAAAAAAAAAACAAGCTGGTGGATATTCAGAATCTGATTTTTAGATACGCTGAGCCACTCCTATCTCCACTGAGACTCTGTGGGCATTTGTGGTGTTCGTACCTTTGGACAGGAGGAGCTTGGCCAAAGGAGCTTGTCCTGTAAATGTCATATAAGTGTGAGAGCAATGTCGGTTGCAATAAGGACCACATAATCCAGGGGGATTGCTCAGCCTAGCTAGTCACATATATCATAATTTGCACTTTTGGTCCTATAACCCTAGGGAGTTTCTGATTATATTACTAACTGCAATTCTGGGGGTCCCAGTTAGAACCCTTCACCTCTCTCACCCCCAAATCCCATCCTGCAGTTCTCTTACATACCTGGAAACTAAAGCAAGGTCTCATTTTGATATTATCTAGAACTGTTATTATTCTGACTCTTGTGATTCATTCAGTTTACTTATATAACAGTATGTGTACATATTTCAAATGTAAACATGTTAATCAGAAGCAATACTGCCTGATAGTTTAAGGGTTTACAGCCAAAACAAATGAAGTATAATAATGGGAATGGTAATATGCACTGTTCTCTATACATTACATTTTCAAATAACCATAAATCATGCATATGCCATTAAACTAAATCTGAATAACGAATATGAAAATCCATACCTCTAGATACAATTTTGATCATAAATTTCAATCTATGATCAGGAGCTAGATGGAGGCAAAACCATCCTTTTTTTTTCATCCTTTTGATTACCTTACCATGATACAAACTGTAACCTGATATACACTAATGCTATATATAATTTTTCACCTTTATGCAGGAAAGCTCTTTCAATGGGTAATATTGAACAACTAGAGTAGCATTGATTTTTCACTAAAGCCACACACTTTTGTTCTTCAAAAACATGCACCTGTCAATGGATCTATTTATTTATCTACGTAGGAGTCAAACACAGAGGCTTTATCCCTTCTCTAAGCTTATTTTCACATTAAGGAAAATCAGTCTTCTTCACTTTATTAAAATAACTTTCCAGGTTCTACTCCCATTGAATTGTTTTCTAAAACCTTTTTCATCTTAGATAAATATTAGTATTGATAATGCAGTCAATCAATAAATAAAATTGAAGAGAGAAAAAAATGGAGAAAATCTCACATTTTTTATTTAGGTATTTAAGAATGATCCAAATTCTATTAAAGATAGTGCCTCCAGCTATCTGGCTGGGTTTTAGATTAAAGAGGAAAATCTGACTTTCTGAAAATCCTATTTCTGAAAGCCGAATCAATGTTGAGAATTTTGGCTCAGTTTCTCTTTGGATCAAGCCCTTTCACAGTCACTCACTGTGCCCTCAGAATGATGGTGGTTTGAACGGCCCGTGGATTTTTGCTTACGTTTTAAGAAATACAAGGGCAAATCATTTTCTGCATACCACCCATTTTCTGTATAGGATATACGCATAGCTCAACATAACACTGAGCAGCACTGTGCTGATATCACCCCACCGTGCCCCGAAGGTCTGCCAACTCCAGTCGGAGGAATGTCTGGGAGCTTATCTCTACCCGGAAAAGAATGATCTTAAAAAAAAAAAAAGAAAGAAAGCAGAGGTTTCTCCAGGCTCACTCCATTGCCTTCTGCATTCCCCACCTGCAGCAGGGCTTGCCATGTCGGCTGCACCTGGGGCACTGCCCCCAGCAAGGGGTCTTGGCTCACAGCGTCTGTTTGCACTTGGAAATTTCAGGTCTTAGAGCTGATAGCCTGAGCCACGTTGTGAATATTATCTCTACTTCACCTGTGTTGCAATTCAGGGCAAAAATGCTGCTCTGCAATCACAACCTTGTCCTTTTAAGCAAGATGTTCCATCAGATCAGCTGTGAATGGAAATGGTTATAAACTGTGCATCCATAGTGGGCTCTGTGAGGCTACTGTGAAAATGGGGGTATCTTACTTAAGATATGATGAAGAAACAAACTTGACTTTGAAGGAGCTATTGCTATTTACTTCCAAAGATGACAATAACAAATTACTTTGTGTTTGCAGTAGTCTGTGGTTGCTCATTGTAGTTCTATAATTGATCATACAAATACTGAAATATTATTTATATAGCGACCAAAGCATACTTGGCAGAATTTCACAACAAACAACAGAGAGAGCTCCTGTTCTTAACTACTCTTTCACATTGGCAAGACACAGGAAGAAGTTGTTATCCTCTTTCTCCAGCATTCACTGGTGAGTTTTTATTATTGAAGTGCATTTTTAGGAGGTCTTGACTGTAGCAGTGTGATGATCTTGAACTCACTTGAACAGTACAGGAAAGAGGAAAAACTGCTGAGGTTGCTTGTTCTGTCAAGCAAGTCCCACCTCACAGTAGGTTAGTTGAAAAATAGGTCTCCTACAACCATCCTGTGGGATGGGAAAAACAACTTGAAGGAAAAAAAATGGATTATAGTTTATAAGCACGGAGTTGAATAAAACAGATAGAGATATGCCAGCAGCTGTTATGATAAGCAAATCACATAAAGCTGTCACTTTGTATACTGGGGATAAAATCACAGCTTTAACAGAAGTAAATTTTCAGAGGCAATTTAAGGATTTTTTAAATTGCAAGATTTTTAAAATTATTCTTTTCCTTTTTATTCATAGACATTAACATTTAGATGAATCATGGTGTTTCTCTTTGTGCACCTTGCCAGCATCTACCTCAGCTGAAGCCTCAAGTCATCTGAAGACAAACTCCCTTTCACCATTATAAGAGAGGGGAAATATAATAAACGGATAGATTGTTTGAAAAGCCTCAGTGGAAGATTTCTTCAAAGAAAAAAAAAAGAGGGAAGAAAGCAGCAGCTAACAAACAGAAGGTGTGAATGGAGAAGCCTGTTTTTGGTTAAGACAACCATGATGTGCAGGGAAGAGTGGGAGAGTGCAGGAAGGTGATTTCCAACAGCAAATCATGTCAAATCCTCAACACCTATTGACTATTACAGCATATCAGTACTTATCCCTAGCTGGGAAGTTCTTCAGTATCACCCCTCTTCAGTCCACGGGAGGTCTCAAACCACAAGCTGTACATAACTCTTCATGTTAATGTTTCTTAGTGGCTTGGAAGAACTGCTGAACACAAGCCTTGATGCTGAGATTAGCAACAGTGCCAGTCACAGGATAGCCCTTGTGCTTGACATGATGTTTGAGCTGGGATATGTACAAGTAGGTTGAAACTTTTCCTCTTCTGCCTCATTTTGCAAAAAGACAGCCACCAATGTGCTTTGCTCCTCTGCTATGGGCTTCCACAGGGAAGCCTCAGCAAGACTTGGTCCACTGTGGTGTGTGAAATGCAGCATCAGATCTCAGCTTTCTTAAGGGATGTGTTACACTAAAAAAAAGCCCCAAAAGCTAACAACATGAGGCATGGGTGTACTTGTAGTAACATCTCACAATTCAGACAAAACTGTCTGATGAAAAGCTGTACAGAGACGTGTTTGGCAACCCTGACTTATGGTAAGCAGAATAGGCACATCATGCCCTAGTTTCTGGAAATCCTGCTAGCTTTAGATTTGCTAACCCACATGAAAGAAAAAAGAAAAAGAAAAAAGAAAAAAAAAAGAAAAAAGAAAAGTTTAACCATGTGACACAAAATAGCCGTTGTTTCGTCTGTTTTCCCACTCAGCGTTACTGAAACAAGTCTTGTAAGTCACCCTGCGGCAGACTGCTTTAAGCAATACTCCATTAAATATTTGTCAGATGAGGGTTGTTTGAAAAGTGTGAAAATCCTGTTCCAGCTGCCTGCCCTTTGCAGCTGATAGGTCCAATCTGCCTGCCCAAGAGAGCACCTATCTATCAGTTGGTCTCTGAAGAACGTGGAAGAATTTTTGTAGTGAGCTCTCTATCTTCCATCTCTCAGACTATCCTGTTGGGACCTCTGATCCTCAGTCTCACCCTTTACGTAACTTTGAGTTCAGATGATCTGGGACAAAACTAAGCATGTAACAGGTTTGCTGCAGGCAAACAGGTGTCACAAATTCATCAATGATTTTCCCTGAAAAAAAAAATCTTTTTATGCAGGTTCTAATTGGAGTAGATTGAAGAGATTGCAGGAGGAGTTTCCCAGCTCTAAAATGCAGAGGTCTGTGCTAACCCTACTCCACCCACCTCTCACAAGAACCTAGGCAGCTAGTGCT